TGCGCCACGTAAAACAGCAAAGTGTCATTGTGATCTAGCGCGTATACCTATTGAAATTTTCTATCCTCTCCCTACGTCCTCCGCCTTATGCTACGCCAACGTTCGCGAGCCCCTCACCATCAGACCATGAAATCAACCGCAACTATGCCTGCAAACAGCACCCTACCACCTCCTTATACAACCCGCCAACTCCGCCGTTACACTCGCTACCACAAACTGTACGCCGAGCGAAGATATCCGCATCCCTCCCATCCTACCAGCCAGACCACCCAGCCATTCCGTCTCATGAAGCTCCCTGCCGAACTCCGCTGCATGATCTACGCATGCGCACTCACCCTCCCCTTCCCCATCGAACTCTGGCCCGAAACCGACAGCCCCATCGCCTCACACCAGATCACAACCACGAATCGCAATTTGCAGTACCTGAAAGTCAAGATGCGGCAGCTTGGTGTGAACCTGAACTTGCTGAGAGTGAGTAGACAAGTAAGACATGAAGCTACGTTTTACTTCTACAGAGAAAACGAGTGGCGCTTCAGCGGGATGAATGGGTGGATGGTTGCTAGTGCGTGGATGTTCACAAGTGCGTTCATGTTCACTTCAAGAGAAAAGTATGCGTGGCAGTATATCAGATGTATCACACTGCCGTTGCCGGTTCGACACACGGCGCAGGGGCGGGCGCAACAGCGATGGGGGATGATTAGGCCGGCGGTGAGTAAGCGCGCGGGTGTCAGGCTGGCGAAGCAGATGCCTTTCGATGTTCCTGACGAGTGGAAGTATGAGAGTAGTGTTAAGGATGTTTGTGTCGCGTTAGGAAAGTGTATGAATCTGGAGGTGCTGAGACTTGTGCTGCCGAGGTGGTGTAATATGGAGGTCGTTGATGAAGGGGTGATGGAGGATTTTGTTGAGCGGATTAAGGGGCTGAGGGAGGTTGCTGGTACTAAATTGAATGTGCAGGTGGTCAGACTGAGTGGGCAGAAGATGACAACTGGAGGTTTGATCATGGCGGACGCGAGGCAGGAGAAGTATATAGAGGGGTGCATGGAGAAGGGGTGGGAGATTAGGACGGCGAAGTGCGATAAGTTTGGGAGGTACGATGTTGTGGATATGTGATAGGAGTCAAGTATTCGACTCCTCCTCCCAAGCACAGGATGCGCGGTGAAATGAACTGAATGCGTCTTTATCTAGCGCATAGGTACCGATCGAAGCCCCTCTTGATCTACGAAGATAGGGACGGTTTCTCTGCAGATTGCATCGGAAGAGGGTGTGGCCGGAAAGCGATAAGCTCACCGCTAGCTTCCAGCTGATCTAGAAGAACAGGCATATCCACTCTGGTTAGCTGGTAGCGTTCTTATGCGGACGGATACCAGCAGCCTAGATGAATGCTTCATTTCGAAAAGTACGCCTTCACGCGATTGGCTGCTGCGGCACCAACGAACTCCGATCTTAGGGGCGTGAAATGACTTTAGGCTTTCTGAAAATGCGATTGAAGATCTTTCGTCACAGTGTTTCAGTCTGGCAAAATTTTCGTGTCCAATCTGCGCTTGGGCATCATCGCAGCGGTCAAGACGAGTTGTGCATTGCTTCCTCTAGCTGACGACGTGTACAATCGTAGCTATCCGGGTAGATGCATGCTGTTGCAGTACGGTGAGGATTTGGCAGGGGATGATTCTGGACCGGGCTGTTGTCGTTGCTTGTGCCGTGTCGGGGACTTTCGCAATCGGGATCGGGAGGAAGTGGAGATGCGCAAAACCCCGCGCCACATCCCTGAGCCACATCGTTGCGCCACACTTGTGCGGTCCGCTGCTGCGGCCCTACATGAAACCTAGGCAGTACATTCTCACTTTCGATATTACTCCGTCTTGGACGACACGAATTCGCATCTCCCAAGCATAGCTACACAGATCTAGAGATCGCGAAGGACCGAACAAGGGTCGTGTCGACGCCGGATGCAAAATGGCAGTCGTGCAATCGGAAGACGACTACCCGATCGCGACCAGCGAAACACGGCACGACACGCGCAGTACCCACGACTCCACGACTCTACGTCGATCAGTAATCGACGTGCCATGACACAGTACTACTAACTACAACAACATGTGTATTCCGTGGATGGGCTGAGCGGTCGTTTGACGACCAGCCTTGGACGTCGTCTCGAGTCGCAACGCTGCTAACCTCCAGGGCGGTTGGCGTCAGCCGGCTGCATCAACCTAGCAAGCAAGTCCTGTCAGCGACTCTTGAACACGCGGGATCCTAATCAGCGTGGTGAACAGAGGTACACCTAGAAATGGCACCTGGGCGTCATGCACGACACCTGTTTGCGCGACATGACGTGCCAAGACGCCTCGAGCTGGTGTTTTACGCCCTCCAGGAAGCGTCGCGATTGGCGGAGATATCGAAAAGAAAGTCATTGAAACTATCTCACACTCTAGCCAGATTCTAGCGCAAGGCTCGCCCCGTGACACGAATCGCAAATGTGTCTTGGCAGGACCCCAATGATGTTCCCGGAGAAATGCTTGACTGGCCAGACGTTTTCGAACAACGAGCGGAAATTTCAGTTCTCCTTGGCGTTCCAGATAGGTGGTTACGATGTGGATATTTGAGCGGTTTCATGTCAAAGCTTGGCATTTTGGCGAGCGTTGGCGTCGGTGTGACAGGCTGGATCCAGCACTAGTCGATCGGACATGTAACGACTTCCTGGCTTCTGGTGGTGAATCAATTGTCGTGTGCGTTCGTGTGGCGTTCCAGAATACGATGTCTCTCAAGTCGTCTCCCAGAACTCGTCTTTCTGATATGCAAACTGATGTCTTATCGCGCTGATGATGATGAGAGTTGAGTCTGGAAGACAAGACGGTGCTTACTGGTTAATTCACTCTCTACCAACTCCACAGTACAAATGAGCCTGGCATGGGTGCTATCGAGATATCCCGCCCTGAGCGTGTTTCCGACCTCCAAGCCCCACCAGAGCACGGCCCTGACGTCCTCGGAACCCTGCGAGCGTCTTCTTCTGGGCCATCCTACTCACATTCGCATGACACTCTGGGCCTGGGCTCATGAGTACCGCCGGAGAGGAACAGTACCCTGTCTTCCACATGGCACATCTTCGGACGAATGTGGAGTGCCTCAGTGTGGCACCCAGAAGACGAGTTGAGGGGGAGTATAAGTATCACAGCGACCACCGGCGAAAAGGAATCACCACCACCATCACATTCATTCAGTCTATTCTTGCTTGAAGCATCCACTTTCGCTACCTCTTTCAGAGACTTACATTCTTTATACATACTTTGTTCAAAGCATCCTCTTCGACTTTCCAGTTTCGATCAACAAACTCAACCGTCAACATGAAGTTCTCCATCGCCATCGTTGCTGCCATCACTGGCTTCGCCGCCGCCGGCCCTGCCGCCGTTACTCCTTCCGAGTTCTCCTCCTTCGCCAAGCGCGCCTCCCTCCCAATCCCCGCCTCCAAGGGCTCCGTCACCTACAAGGCTCCCCAGCAAGTCAGCGGAACCTTCGATGGTGGCATGAAGACCTACGGCCGTGGTGCTAGCTGCACTGGCCAGGTCGAGGGCGGTGACAAGGACGCTGTCTTCCTCATCAAGAACGGCGGAACTCTTAAGAACGCTATTATCGGAAAGGACCAGATCGAGGGCGTCCACTGCGAGGGTAAGCATCTCCCGTACAAATAGCGAGCCATACCTGTACTAATACGAACCAGGATCCTGCACCATCGAGAACGTCTGGTGGGTCGACGTTTGCGAGGATGCGCTTTCCCTCAAGGGTGACGGAAACGCCATGATCAAGGGCGGAGGTGCCCAGGCCGCTGATGACAAGGTCATCCAGCACAACGGAAAGGGCACGGTCACCATTGACGGCTTCAGTAAGATCCCCGACACTACTCTCCTCTGAACAACACTAACACCTCCCAGCCGTCATGAACTTCGGCAAGCTCTACCGTGCCTGCGGTAACTGCAAGAACAGCGTCGCCCGCTCCGTCGTCATCAAGAACGTCAAGGCCTACAACGGAAAGGTCCTTGCCGGTATCAACCCCAACTTCGGCGGTACCGCTACCATCTCCGGCACCTGCGCTACTTCCGTCAAGACCATCTGCGAGGAGTTCAAGGGCACCAAGCCCGGCTCTGAGCCTAAGTCCGTCTCCAAGGGCCCCTCCGGCAACTGCAAGTACACTGCTTCCGCTGTCAAGTCTTGCTAGACGATTACTTCGACTCGCTCGATACTTCTTTAGTCGGGTGAGAGTGTCGTGGTCATTGGAGATGACAGGGTGGTAGATGTGGATTTTGGAAATTTTGAGGATTCTTTGTATATAACTTTTGCACACATGCAGTGCATGTAATCAACTTGCTTCAGCACATCTCTGTTCTCAACATCATGGTGATCCCAATCTTGCCTCACGCCCGCTTGAGTTTGTTGGTGTGATGCTAAAGCGACAGCGAGGGTGCGACGACTACTCCACAATTGATCGCTGTCCTGCCTAGTCACAGGGCGAGGCATACAAAACTACTGCGCCACAGCAAGGCGTTGTCGTTGAGGTTCATCGGTCAGTCTCGGCGTTACTGGGGAACTTTTGTAAGATTGATTAATCTATCGTCGGCTACCTGCACCTCATTAATCTAGTACGGAAGCATCGGAGCTAATGCCTGGGCAGATGAAACACAGTGAGTCTTCTCAAAGCTGTAAAGATCGGCGGTAAGATAGGTGGAGAAGGGTATGACTTTTGGCATTGAAGTTGAAGACAGTAACACGGTTACTGCTTGTGACACAGGCCCACTACATAATTTGAAAAGGCGCTGTGTGTAGCAACGCGCTTTTGGTTTGAAGGAAACGACAAGCTCATAGGAAAGAAACGGAAGATGTAATACAAGTAAGCGGGGCTGCGACGTCATCGCTGACACTGCGCCGAGCTTTGAAAAGAAGAACAGAAAGCAATTAACTCCGCCACCCTGGGTATAAAGCGCCGGTAATATGCAAGACAAAGGAGCAAACCATCATGCGCCGCTACGCTTCTTCACAGGCGCTTTCTTGCGAGGCGGTTGGCCCGCCGGGTCCTCCGCAACGAAGGTCTCTTCGCGAGCGCGCTTCTTGCCCCTCGAGGCCTTCTTGACCTTTGTGGACTCTTCGCTGTTGGAGCCCTCCTCGCTGTCCTGTTGTTTTGCCTTGTCGTTTTTGTCATCGCCGCCGGGAGAAGTTGTTGTGCTGCTTTCTTGCTTCATCACCTTCTTACCTGCCTTGATCTGATTGCCTTTGTTGACGTTGGCAGTCTTGTTGGTCGCCGTGCGATGGATCAGGTTGCGCGGGTTGGCGATGATGGTATAGAAGCGGGAACCCTTCATGATATCTTGACAAGACGTCTTGGAGTACTGTGTACGGTTAGCATCAAGCTGTGTAATTATCAAGACAAAGTACTTACGTGAAGCAGTTCCCGAAGACCTTCAAATCGATCTTCAAACGTGTAGAACTGGGTAAGCTGACATTGCTCACGCTCGTTCGAGTCAAAGATCTGCTTGGTCCAACCGTCGGTGTGGATTTTGATAAGCTCTTTCTATGTTACGTTAGTGATGGCAGAGGCATACACTTCGGTTTAAACTTACCACAAGCAGGCCAGCAGCTGCATTGTACTCTTCCGGGAAATAGTACTTGGACTTAGAGTTCCACCGATTGTTCGATGACTTGACATCGGCCTTCTCCCGGATGTTTAAGACGTTGTGCATCGCCACGTCAAGAGCATCGACGCAAGCCTTGATCTCCTTTTCTGTTGTAGGAATGGTCATATCGTTGGCAGGCGCCTTCCACATCGTACCACTGAACTCAACTCCAGTGTTGGTACGAACCATGGTGATAGACTCGCCCATCTGCCCGTCCATACTGGTCTTGGCTTTCAGCTTCTTGATCGCGGCCCGGGCTTGCTTCTCTTTTTCGAGAATGTGTTTGGGTGTGGTGGATTTAACAGCGCCCGCGCTGTCAGCGCCTTCAGCAGCTTGCTCGCCAGTTCCAGCGTCCTTGTTCTCGGACAGCTGGGGCGCAGGTGGATCACCGGTCGCTACTGGATGGTTGATTACGGGTGCGTTGTGGTTGGTGACAGGCGGGTGGTGCCTCATGAATGTATCAGGGGTCGCCGACGTAGGTGGCGGCGCTGATCTAACTCGCGGTCCAGGTGCATGTTGAGGCCCTGATGGATGTTGTAGCCCTGGTACTCCTTGTGGGCCTGATCGATGCAGTCCTGGCACTTGGGAGGGCCAGTATCCATGTTGAAACCCTGGCGTAGGGCTGACGAGTGATCCGTACAGAGCTACTGGTCCACGAGCTGTTGATGGTGGGTGGCCCGGCTCTGGCAGACGAGTCGGTACTGGGCCTCGGAGATCTGCTGGTGCGTGACGAGAGCCTAGTTCGCGTCGAGTTGCTGGTGTGAAAGAGGGCGATAATGCAGTGCTCAGAGGCTGCGCATAGCCTGGCGGTAGTCCTTGCATCCTGGATGGGCGGCTTGTAGATGATGTGTGAGCAGGCGCTGATGGGTAATTGGAAGGGATTCCAAGGTCTTGCACTTGCCTATGGCCGAGCGCTGGGTCCCGACGTACGAAAAACGGATGGCCGCTCGATGACGCAGGGGTCGGCGTTGACATCTGGTTCACGGATGGCGCATTCGCCGACCCACTGAGCGAGATGGGCGATGGTGTACGATCATGCGCTAAGACTGGACGTCCAGTGTTTTGCACTGGGTTAAGAGCAGTCGGGGGATACGTAAAGTCGTAACCCAAGCTGCTGGGCGAGCCTAGAAGAAGTCAGTGTGAGCGCGCAACACAGAGTGTATATCATATCGACTTACCGAAGGCTACGTTGCTCTCTGGCTGATGCGGGTGACCAGTCTCTAGATGACTGTGTCCTTCTTGCTGGTTCCAGTCATGGGCCGACTGTCCGGGTACGCTCTCGCCAGATGTGTGCATGTTGATTTGATCGTTCCAGTCGCGAGTTGTTCCAGTGTTATAAATTGGGTTAGCCGCAGCCGGAGAATAGGAAGCCTCGTTGTGCAAGCTGCTTGGTGTGTCTAGAAGAAGTTAGTGTAGGCTCGACGCATGTAAAGATAACCATGTCGACGTACCGAGGGCCACAGTAGGTTCTGTTTGGTGCTGGTACTGCAGTCGTACTTGCTCGTATCCTCCAGTCGAGTAGATACCGGGGACGAAATGTCCAGGTTGGACGCTCCCGGACGTGTCCGTCTGTTCTTGGTCGTAGTAGCTGCTATTGATTGCAAGGGTCTCAGGCGGAGGATGTTGCCAGTATTGGTCGTTCGAAAGTGCACTGTCGACGTCCTGTCCAAATTCGTTCTGTCCAACTGAGCCGTGGGGCAGTGAAGTCTCTGGCGCGGTATTAGGGGCTGATGTTAAATCGGGATCTTCGTTAAGGAATGTCATGATCTTTTCGAATTCTTCGTCAGTGTATTGGGATTGCTCCGCGAAGGGGTTGTTGGAATTCATTGTAAAGCTGTCGTCGTCGTATGAAATGAATTTTGCAAGTTGTGGTTGTGAATCGAAGTGGTTGAGGGGAGTGATCTTTCCTTGAGCTCGAAATGAAGCCCTAGAAATACTACCACAGGTACAACGCGCTAGGGGTTTGTTTGTGGCGCGGGGCAGAAGGCTCCCAACTCGGATAGAGTGGATCAGAGGGTGAATCACGTGTTCACACGGCGGTCACTCCAAGGCGGGGGAGGGGCGATTAAGGAGGAAATCACTGTAGCGCCAAGCCCAAAGCGTGAGAGCGACCGAAGTGTTCATGCAGGCGGCAAAACCAGTAGCGATACTACGTATCAACCTTCGAGGCATCGCGCTGTTTCTTGCCAGTCAAGTATATAAACCCAACTACTAAACTAAGTATAAGTAAGCCAAAGCCCCTCGACGCCGTCTAATATAGCGAAATTGAAGTGCAAGAATCCTACTGTCGACTGTATATATCTCTTTCTAGGCTTGTCCTGCTGCATCCTTTCCGCCGTACCATTCCAAATGGTACGAACTTGGTGAATGGGGTTTGAAAGACAGTCCTCAAGGAGATGTGAAAGAGCAAGGAAAGCGAGATTGCTTGCGGGACCGGGAAAGACAGCCTACCTATAAGTGTTCGAGGATTCCACGTCACTACTTAACTACTACCGCCCAGCTGTTTGTCTCAACCGACAAAGCACTCCCGGATGTTGCACTCGACAAACTATTCCGGCAAACGCAAAGACTCTTCCAAACTCAACCTTGACAGCTACGCCGGTCAACCGAGTATGCTCGCTCGCCTGGAATAGTAAGCGGGAGACGACGATACCGACACAACTAACCTCCAGGTTGACGTTTGCTGTATCGTGCTGCCTCGACCAAGGCATGCCGAATGGAGCAACCAAGAAACCCGATCTCTATTGGACTTTCAGTCGGATCAGAGAGCTCAAGACAAAGAAAGCAAGTCCATCCATCAGCCGCGCGGTAGCTTATGACTCGGACGGTATTGTGTCTTTGACGGCACGTGCTCGCTGATCTTCTCGACAATAAATTCCTTCGACATCATGCCGAAGGTAGCGTCTTCAGTCATGAGATCTGAAAAGGAGAAGTTGAGCGATTGAATGTGATAGCGACGCGGTGCGAGCCCATCAACCTGCAGTCGTTGCAGCCGCGCGTTCGCCGCGGAGAGTGGCGCATCGCGACAGTCCGAGGAGCATTCCCTGGACATGACTGCACTCGATGAAAGCTTACAGAAGTGTGCAGCACCAGTCCTCGCAAGAAGCAGGAAGCGGCTGTGCACCAGGCGAAGTCCATGAAGGTTTGTCGTTGATTTTGAGGTGGGATCAATGCGCGCTAGCGACGGCGAGCCTGCCCCTCGTTCCTGCCTTCCTTCTCCGCAACCTACAACTTCATCCGCTTCCACCAAACGTCGACAGCATCGACAATCTCGCCACCGCCGGGTCCTTCTTTTTACTGATACTTTCACCCAGGGAGGCAATTGAATCTCATGTCTTCATGTGATCAACGGTCCAGACCTTTCCCGACGCTGGCTTCGATGGCTGTGCTGCCATAAAAGCCGACGGGCCACGCCCACACCCACCACCATCACCGCGACCCTCACAATGCTGCACCGAACGCGATCTTTCCAAAGCTTCTCCGATTGGGATCATCGGCAACATGAGCTCAACTGACGGGGCGGTACAGCCACTGCCCTTTCGACGCGTCTGATCACGCCGCCCGCCCTGAACAAACATGCCAAGGCACCATTCCCTCCTCGCCGCGCACCAGCCAGTCAGGTATGCAAACTCATTGCACTTCGAAACTTTTCGCGCCCATATTCACAGCCACTAGCATCCAACTCTTCTCCACACACCGCGATGGCATACCACGCGGTAGTCGTGCGGCTACCGCTGCCGTCGAGCCACTCAACTGGCGCAAACTAGATGACACCTCACCGAAGGTTCAACTCCTGAGCAAGAGCGACTTCCAACACGAGAATATCGGATTCAAATGTAATGGAAGATTTCTCTCCTACCTCTGGTCCCGGTCTCGTTCCCGATCAAGAATGTCCACCTTCCCGCCGGGTAAGGAGGTCACATGACGCATCCCGCCTGGATCGCTCTTGCTTGGAAAGACCCCGGTGATACCTGAAAGAGAAGGGACTACATTATCTCATGGTACTGTGTCGCATGAAGTGTATTTCTGCTTGCCAGGCTTGGTCGACGAAGATCCGTTCGCGTCTTTATGATATGGACTTGCACATGCACTTGCAGGACATACAACGCCCCATCAAAAAGCCGGACAGAACGCGTGTAGGTCTGGCAAGACGGACTTGCCCATGCATACGCGGATCATACAACGCCTTATCGCAGATCCGGAGAGGTTGCAAAGCGCAGGTCTGGCAAGACGTTGCTTTGTCGGAACCTGAACGGTATGTAGTCGGTTGCGCGCTCTGTCGCTGCCAGCTGCAATCGTACATGCTTACGGGCCTGCGACGACCTCGCGCATCCGTATTGTCGCCGGTCTTCATGAGGATTCTATGGTACGCCATTAGCTCTTATGTCTTTCAGTTCAACAAGAAGTCATTCTGTGTAAGGTAGTCAGTATGTTAACACATGTCACAGGCAACATCTCACGCAGCAAGGCCATATCACACGACGCCAACCTCGCCCAGTATCTCAGGCAAGACGGACCTCATGACACTACACGCTATCGACATGCAGCAAGTGCCATGAGGGCTTGTGGGTCGGGGCAATGGGTCGTGGGTGTAACAAACGCTCGGGTTCTAGGTGAATGCGAGGATGCCAAGACGCTCGGACGCGTTACTCACGCCTGTGCTGTCGATACACACGCAACGCCCCCAGCAACAGGCACCGATCATAACAACAGACCTTTGTCTTCTTTCACAGAACGCACCTGATATCCTCTTGGCTTACAAATCGTCCGCGCTTGTCAGAGTCGACCTTCAATTTCCTACTTCACTCCGTCGTCGCCTAGGTAAACATTACGCCATACCTACTTCAATACCCGTGGACGCATCTTTTCACTAGCGGCGCAGTCAGCCTTGCACATATAAAGATCGGGGGACGCAAGCGTTTCACCTCTCACGCCGTGTAGAGTAATAACAGTTTTTTCAGTAAGTTCCACCAGAGCTGGAGTATAGATGCTGGAGTTCACTAACATGTGTCTTAGTTGCAAGCAGTAACCGTTGAAACCAAAACCCCAGCCGCCGCCCCAAGTACCCCAATATGACCAACCACGACCCCAACAAGGACACCCCCAAGGGCATAGCCAACAAGAACCTAATGGTGATCGAGAGCCAGACTGCATCTCCCTCAACTCCCGTTGGTGCTCGTGCTCCCGTTCCCTTCGGTCCTCCCATTCCCCGCCTTGCGGACACGCGCCTGGAAAAGGTCCCCGGCGGTCTCAAGGATCCGTCTCGCCTTAAGACCAAGATTTCCCAGCTTCTGGACAAGGACGGTGACTATCCAGAGGTCGATGGCTTCCGCTTCAAGACCCTAGAAGAAGCTAGGGCGCCCATGGACGAGCCTCAGTGGTATTCTCCAGAGGCCGACCCCTCCATCCCCGAGACCGACGCAGAGTATCGTAAGTTCGTCGAAATGTTGATGCTAGCTTTCAAGGATATGACCCGCGCCAAGGACACCCAGGGCAACGCTTACCGCAAGCGGCTAACTCCGGGTGAAGGTGTCTATTACCAGGACTGGGCTATTGAAGCGTGCTCCTGGGACATCGTCGGCATGGCCAAGGACATCCACCTGAACGGCTTCAAAGTTCGCATCTACGATAAGTCCATCATCGACAACATCAGCCAGACCAAGGACTGGACCTTCGGACAGCGTATAGAATGGATTTGTGCGGTGCTGAGGACCTCCAAGCAGATTGGCGTTACTCTGATGAAGAACGAGAAGACCTGGACTACTATTGGCGCTCCCCACAAGCTGTACAGTAGCACCATCGTCAACTGCGTCTCGAACGCGCACCGCGGCCAGTGGATCAAGGTCGGCCGTGACAACGACCAGCACCATCAGAATCGTCCGATTCGGGGTAGGCGTACTGCGGCTGAGATGATCGCGTCCGGTGACAACGATGACACTGATGATCCTGGAGCAACTCCGGGGTCCCAGATGATGCTACAACCGCGACAGCCGGCTCAGAAGCGCCAGAAGCGTAGTCAACCGGGTTTGAAAGTCATTCGGCATGACCACCCAGCCATGGCCACTGACTCTGAAGGCGAGATGTCTCCCGGAAAGATGAAGAAGAAGCGCAAGACCACAACCCAGTACAACTCGTCATCCCCCACCTACGTTGTTCAGTCAGAGACTTCGGCATCTCAGCCGGACGAACAGTACCATGGTGCTGACATGGGCGTTACCTTTTCGAATGGACTTCCCGTGAAGCATGTCGTCGCTGTCCCTGTGCAAGCTGCTCGAAAGAACGGTGCCCAAGCTGGTGATGTCGTCTCCAAGGATGCTTTCAGCAAGGACGTGTTCAACGAGGGTGCTATTGGCAAGAACGTCTCTAACGACGGCGGCGGCAATTCCAACAACGATAAGGGCAAGAAGAAGACTAAGCACACCGGTTTCGTCAACTACCACTGCGGCACCAAGGGCATGGACGAGCTTGACTCCGACAGCTCTGAGCTCTCCGATGCACCTGATGTTCTGCTCTCTCCTGGCTCTACTTCTTCAACTCGCAGCCACAAGCAGAAGGAGCTGCTGGACGACCCCGAGGACAAGGTTTCCATTGAGGAGTACGCCAAGCTTCGGGGTGAAATGGATGAGCTGAAGGCGGCGCAAGCTGAGACCGACAAGATCTTGGCGGCACTCCGCGCGGAGAACGCGCGCTCGTTGGCCTCGTTCCATCAGGGCTCTTGAGTAGCTGAAGACTGGCGCAGAGAGACGCAAGCATCGAATGATCAAGTACACGTTTGGCCGTCCATAGAATGAGATGGATGACCAGTCTTTCCAGCCTTTCGGGAGGAT